TATCTCTTGAAATATTTGTGGTAGAGTATTGGAAATTGGTATAGAGGTATATCAAATAATTCCATACTCATGGAGAAAAATGGGCGGTATTGGAAAAGAGGGCGTTGCACCTCCCATCTTATATATAAAAAAGAAGTGCAAGATTTCAACCAAATTTATATGGCATAGTCGGGCTATTATGCAGATGGTTTGTGTTAAGTTTCCCCGAATTCGGAAAAGGGGGCATGGCACCACCCATACTAACAAAAATTTTCATCTGGTATATCTCTTGAAATATTTGTGGTAGATTACAGGAATTGGTATAGAGGCATATGAAATAATTCCATACTCCCCATTTAAATAAAAAAGTAAGTGCACGAATTCTACCAAATTTAAACGGTATATTCGGACTATAATGCGGATGAGTTATGTGAAGTGTGCCCGAATTCGGTCCAGCGGTTCATGATATATGACAGTTTATGTCTGTCACGTGAACCACGTATATGGTACAACAGCAGATACATGAAAAATCGAAAACATAGTGAAAAATTCTTGCTATGATGTGCTGTGTTTATTTTTTCTTCGGATAAATTAAGTAAAGTATAAACATGGCTGCAATATAGTTCTCAATTAGTACTTGATTTTTTTTAAACATATACGATTTAAAAACAACAAAAAGATTGTTTTATTTCAACCCGGTCTTGAGCTCAAAAAAATCAATATAATAATCAATTGAATTTATTTCAATAATTTTGCACAAGGTTGTTGCATCATTTCGTACGCAAAGTTTCAAAAAGTAGTGTTAAATTGTTGCTATAATGTGCTGTTTTTATTTTTTCTTCGGATAAATTAAGTCAAGTATAAACATGGCTGCTAGTTTTTCAATAGGGATTTTGTAGAGCCAATGGAATGAAAGTCACCACAACACTACATATCTGTCATTTCGTCGTATTATCGAATAGGTGGTGTATATTGATATTCGGTCTTTCTATTTTGGACTTTGAAGAATCAACACAATGCAGGATTTACGTGGAAATCAACAGCTTTTTGGTGGTGCTTTGGTATTATTGCCAGGTGACTTTCGACAAACATTGCCCGTGATTCCACCTTCAACACCGGCAGATGAGATCAATGCATGCTTGAAGTCTTCCCCTCTGTGGCGATATGTGCAAAAATTGACATTACACATGAACATGCGTGTTCAGTTGCACAATAATCGCTTTGAAGATCGGTTCTCGAAGCAATTGTTAGAGATCGGAAATGGCAAAGTTCGAATCGATAATACAAATGGCTTTATTAGATTGCCGAAGAATTTTTGTACAATTCTCCAATTAAAAGAAAAACTGATTGAATGCGTGTTTCCAAATATTGCCCAAAATTACCTGTACCACGATTGGTTGAGAGAACGCGCAATACTGGCACCAAAAATGTGCATGTCAATTCAATCAATTATCAAATTCTAGAAAAATTACAATATGAAGTGACAACATATAAATCTGTTTACAGCGCAATGAATCAAGATGACACAGTGAATTATCCAGTTGAATTTTTGAATTCAATGGAACCGCCTGGTATGCCACCACATTGTTTGAATTTAAAGGTCGGCTCATCAATTATTTTACTACCGAATTTAAATGCTCCAAAACTGTTGAATGGCACAAGACTGGCAGTAAAAAAATTTATGGCGAATTTAGTTGAAGCAACAATACTGACTGGCAAAGCGAAAGGTGAAATTGTGCTCATACCACGTATTCCACTGATAAAAACAGACATGACGTTTGAATTCAAGCGTTTGCAATTCCCAGTGCGTCTAGCATTTGCCCTGTCCGTCAACAAGGCGCCAGGACAAACTCTTCAAGTATGCGGATTGAATTTGGAGGAGCCGTGCTTTTCGCACGGACAGCTATACGTGGCCTGTTCAAGAGTTGGCATTCCAAATTGTTTATTTATTCATACCCAAGATGGAAAAACAAAAAATGTTGTATATCCAAATGTGTTGGATTAAAATTAAAAATAAAGGATCAAACATTTTGAAATAAAACAAAAGATAAATATTCATATAGAAAAATTCCAGGATTTTTCATCAATATTTCAATATTTGGTGTAGAGAAGCACACGGGGGTACCGCTAGTACATATATATTAAAAAAAAAAAATTATTTTTATTCAATTAAAAAATAATACTGAAGAGTGTCAGTATGTAAAAGACTTGTTCTGGTGGATGAACTCCTCCTAAACGACCGAAAGATTTTAATGACACTTTTTTATGTGTTTGAGTAGGTCCCTGTATAGTTTAAGATAACATCTTAAAACGCCAGGTGGCGCTGGAGTCGAGTTTTACTCAAAATCGTATTTGTGATCCGATTTGATTCATATTCGATATATATATTTATTGGTAACGATAGCGGCAATACTATTGCAAAAAAAGTTGCGCAAGGGGCCGCTGGAGCATTCTTGCTTTACGGTGACTAAACAGAATGTGGACCAATGTTACTCACCAGTTTGGTAATTGCCACCAACCATACAGATTCAAGGACGTTTCACCATCGAGCGGCAAGGACTTCTTTCCGGTATAACGCTTTCGTCAGATTATTTAAAACGGCAATGAAGGATATGCCTTCAGTCGACCACAAAACCAAACGTGAACGTAAATTGCTGGCGAAAACGTTGGACCAAATGTTTCAATAAAAAAATAAATTTTGGGCGGCACGAAGTTCGCCGGGTCTGCTAGTACTTAATTAAGATTCTATATTTTAGTATATTCAATCTTAGTCCGGTTTTAAGTTCGGAAATGCTAAGATCGAGTACGAAATCTTGATTCCTTCTCTGAGTGTATGTACATTAGGCTGTTCCAAAAACAGTAAAGTCAGAATTGTAAAGCTCTCACTCCCTAGGATTGTACTATATCGAAAAAAGTACACTCCTATTTTTTTATTTTGAAATCAAAAAATATTTAAAGGTCGCTCAAAGCGTTCAAAGTTTTCCATGTATTTTTATATGAAAAAAACAACTTTTCGTAGAAATGATATAGAATTCTTGAAAATCAATATTTTTCGATCGGTAAGCTCTGGTTCTCTTCAGGAGGCTTTCAATAACAATACTCAATTGTTTATTTAACTATATTTTAATACAAACGATTTGTTATTGGTCCCTCCATTTAATTTTTTGGGGTTTTTGTGGGTTTTTGGCGGACCTATAAATTATAGTTGCGGTGAAAAATGGTCAGATATACTATTGGGTATTATTACTGGGAATCTCGTGCAGAGAAACAGAGTTTTTCGATCGAAAAATATTGGTTTTTAAGAATTGTATACCATTTCTACGAAAGGTTGTTTTTCCCCATATAAAAAAACATGGAAAACTTTGAGCTTTTTGAGCGACCTCTAAATATTTTTGATTTCCAAATAAAACAAGTAAGAAAGTCTAAGTTCGGGCGGAGCCGAACATTAAATACCCGGCGCAAGTATTAAATATATGTTTTCCACCTTTCCGAAAGCTACCGCTACATGATAAGCCGGGGTGTATACATTTTAAGTAAATTAGCGTCCTTAAATTTCGAAATATTG